CAACCGGGTCCACGGACGGAAGGGGGGTGACGTGGGACACACCAGAGGGGGCGGGACGGGGAGGAGGAGGAGGAGGGGCAGGGACTACCGGGGAAGGGGTGACCAGGAACAGGGGGGGGTAACGGGGGACCACGGTGGGGAAAGCGGCGGTAGTAGGAGACAGACTCGTCAAAGGTGACGTCACGAGAGTGAAAGAAGCGGTGAGACGGCGGGTGGTAAAAGTGCCAGTCGGACGCGTCAAGGGGAAAACCGAGGAAGACGCATGGGAAGGGTGCGGGCAGTGAGCTTGTCCGTGCCGGAGGCACGGACGTGAGCAAGGCAGCCCCAGACGTGGAACGCAGACGCGTCACCAGGGGACCCAGTCCAAAGACGGGTGGGCGAAACCTGCGGCTGCTGAGGGTGCGGCCACAGGTTAAGCTGGTGAGAAGCGTAGCGCACAGCGAACGGCCACAGAAAATGGGGTGCACCGGCATGGATCATGGAGGTGCGAGCCACCTCCATGACCAAACCGATGCGTCGCTCAGCGACCCGATTCTGCTGTGGGGAGTCCGGTAGGGTGAACGTCTGGGTGATGCCCTCCGCACGACAAAAGCGACCAAGGACACCGGAGGCAAACTCGCCACCACGGTCTGAGTGAAGACGCAAGACAGGGAGACCGCGGTGGACACGCGCAGAGACAAGCCAGGGGATGAGAGCGCCAGGCACGTCGGCCTTGCGCTCCAGGGGAAAGACTGTGGTGTAACGAGTGAAGTCATCGACAAGCACAAGGAAGTAGCGCTCTCGACGCGGCCCAGGGACGGGGGCGGGGCCCCAGACGTCCAGGTGCAGGGTCTGCAGCGGCGCGGCGGTAGGGGGAAACGAGGAGGAGTGAGGGGCACGGCGAAGCCGACCCTCGACACAAGGCGTGCAAGGTGGGGCTGGAGAGGAGGGAAACGCGGGGAGCGAACCTGGGAGACCAAGGACGAGACCGTGCTGAGACATGTGACGCAGACGCTGGAGCGCAGGGTGACCTAGGCGGTGGTGCCACAGGAGGGTCGGGTGAGTGAGGGAGCGACAGGAGCAGGCAGCAGCAACCTGGGTAGACGCAGCCACCTGAGGGGGCACTCCAGCCGGGGGGGTCACGGTGTCCAGAGTGAACAGGCCACCGGGTCCCGGGGGAACGTGGACAGGGGGGCACCAGTGGCGGCCTCGGTACAGACAGCATACCGCTCGTGATCAGGGAACGTAGTGGTGACGCCAAGGTCCTGGAGGCAGCCGACACCAACTAGGTTCCTGGAGAACGAGGGGATATGCAGACCTGTAAGAGAACCCGAAGGAACCGCCGGACAGGGAAGGGTGGTGGAACTGCGGGCGACTACCGGACCGCCGGAGGGGTCAGCAAGAGAAACGGCAGCAGGAACAGGAAGCGGCGTCAGGGTGGTGGAGTCGCGGAAGAAACACCGAGAGGCGCCAGAGTCCAAGGTGAAGGAAAGCGAAGCCGAGGGGTCTGGCGACGGAACGACGGCGGAAGCACCAAGACTACACAAAGCAGGGGATCCTACGCCTGACGCAGCAGGGGAGGCTAAGCTAGGCACACATCACTAGGCAACAGTGAGTAATAAGTGGGAAGCACACTAGAGTCATCAGCATACATCACATGCAGAGCAGAAACAATGGCATCCATGTCCATATCAAAAATCTGAATCTGACGACTAAGCAAACTGTGCCAGTCCGGGAGGTCTGGCGACGGGCCGAAGCGCTGACGAAAGAGGTCGTCCAGGCGACGAAAACAGCGGGGAGTGGAGTGACCGAGCTTACCGCAAACGAAGCCGCGGCGAGGACCGGTCTGGATCTGGTACTGACAACGCCCGCCGCCAGAGCCACCACGCGGCACACCACCACGCGCCCGGCCACCGCCAGCGCCGGGCCACCCTGGCGGGAGGACACTCGTCTGCCGCGTCTGCGACGGCTGCTGCGGATGCTGCGAAGGATGCGACTGCGGCGGCTGCTGCGGCTGCTGCACCTGCAGGGGCGGCGACTCAGCTGAACTGGGCAGGGTCCCCTCGTCCACTCCAGCACCAGGCGGCCCGACCCCACCACTACCCCCGCTCGCACCCCCGCCGCCTCCTCCGCCGCGCCCAGCCTTGGGGCGGCGGCCCTTCCCCGAACGGACCTGCGCTGCAGCAGCAGTCTCAGCCACTGCGGCAGAGCCGTCGGAGAAGGTGCACTGAGCGGGGGCACAACCCTGAAAGATAGGGACCGGCACGACACCGCTCGCCTGGGCAATGGAGCGGTGACGGGTCTCTATCACAGTCAGGGTGTCTACAAAGTCAGTGAGGGTGAGGTCTGCGGGGTGAACGCTAAGAAAGCGGTCGCGGGCGACAGCAAGGCGGTCAGGGAGGCGGGTGGCAAGCAGGTAGAGGGTAGAGGTAATGGGCGGCTGGTGGGCTCTAAGCTGGGCGTCAGTGCAGGCAGCGCGCCAGGTCTCATCTATCGAGCGCAGGTGGGCAGCGAGGTCAGAGACAGTGGGGAAAGATGCAAGGTCAGGAAAGAGCAGCGGGAGGATCAGGCGACCCACCGAGGCAGCCGGAGGGGTGGAATAGCGCTTGATCACAGCATCTAAGTATGCCTGAGCAGTAGTGAGGGACCTAAAGCGAGGACGCTCGGATGGGGGAAGGGCGTTGCTAATGGCAAGCTGGGCAACAGCATCGCGAGAAAGCCAGACAGAGCGCGCACGGGCAGTGGCAGCAATAGCCTCACGCTCAGTGGGTGTGGGGTCAGCGGGCAGAATAGCAGGGGGGTCTGGGCAGGGGAGCGTACCGTCAAGGTGTGCGGAAAGCGGTTCACCATCCTGCCGCTGGCCAGTGAGTTGACGGCGGAGGTCGGCAAGCCACGCCTCGAACTCTAGGGGCTGACCTTCAGCGTCGAAGCGAAGCTCTGCCGCCATCAGGAATAGTCCAGTGCAGTGCAGGGCAGTGCAGTGCGGTGCAGTGCGGTGCAGTGCGGTGCAGTGCGGTACAGTGCGGTGCAGTGCGGTGCAGTGTGGTACAGTGCGGTGCAGTGCTGAGCAGTGCGGTGTAGTGCGGTGTAGTGCGGTGCCAGGCAGTACAGTGTGGTGCGGGGCGGCACGGAGCAAGGCGGGGTGGGGGGGAACCGTACCAGTGAGGAGGACGGGGCCGGGGCTGGCCCGACGAGGCCGGGCGGGCGCGACGGGGCCGGGCTGGTGCGACAGGGCCGGGACGGCGCGACGGGGCCGAGCGAGCGCGACGGGGCCGGGCTGGGGCGACGGGGCCGGGCGAGTGCGGCAGGGCCGGAACGGTGCGACGGGGCCGAGCGAGCGGGACGGCGGCCGGGCGGGTGCGACGGGGCCGGGCGGCTGCGACGAGGCCGGGCAGGGTGGGACGGGGCCGGGCGGAGGCGACGGGGCCGGACGGCTGCGACGGGGCCAGGCAAGGGCGACGGGGCCAGGCGGCTGCGACGGGGCCGGGCGGGCGCGACAGCGCCGGGCGGGCGCGACAGGGCCGGGCAGCTGCGACGGCGCCGGGCGGGCGCGACGGGGCCTGGCGGCTGCGACGGGGTCGGGCAGGGTGCGACGGGGCCCAGGAGGGGCGCGAGGGGGGGCCAAGGAGGAGCGCGACGGGGCCCAGGAGGGGCGCTAGGGGGACTGGGAGGAGCGCGACGGGGCCTGGGAGGGGCGCGACGGGGCCTGGGAGGGGCGTTACAGGGCCCAGGAGGGGCGCTACGAGGCCCAGGAGGGGCGCGACGAGGCCCAGGAGGGGCGCTACGGGGCCCAGGAGGGGCGCGACGGGGCGCTACGGGGCCTGGGAGGAGCGCGACGGGGCCCAGGAGGGGCGCTAGGGGGCCTGGGAGGAGCGCGACGGGGCCTGGGAGGGGCGCGACGGGGCCTGGGAGGGGCGTTACAGGGCCCAGGAGGGGCGCTACGAAGCCCAGGAGGGGCGCGACGAGGCCCAGGAGGGGCGCTACGGGGCCCAGGAGGGGCGCGAGGGGGCGCTACGGGGCCTGGGAGGAGCGCGTCGGGGCCCAGGAGGGGCGCTAGGGGGCCTGGGGGGAGCGCGACGGGGCCTGGGAGGGGCGCGACGGGGCCTGGGAGGGGCGTTACAGGGCCTAGGAGGGGCGCTACGAAGCCCAGGAGGGGCGCGACGAGGGCCAGGAGGGGCGCTACGGGGCCCAGGAGGGGCACGACGGGGCGCTACGGGGCCTGGGAGGAGCGCGACGGGGCCCAGGAGGGGCGCTAGGGGGCCTGGGAGGAGCGCGACGGGGCCCAGGAGGGGCGCTAGGGGGCATGAGCGGAAGCGGTAGGTGGGGGGGGATCCTACCTACGCGTGATGCCATATCAAAATAGGAATTGAATGATCGTCAAGTGAGAGTACACACAAATATATCTAAGTGTTGTACCCTCTAAGAGGTAACCCTATACAGTCTATACAAACATGACACAGAGAGAGAGAGAGAGAGAGAGAGAGAGAGAGAGAGAGAGAGAGAGAGAGAGAGAGAGAGAGAGAGAGAGAGAGAGAGAGAGAGAGAGAGAGAGAGAGAGAGAGAGAGAGAGGAGTGCGCTGCGGAAGCGTGATAAGTAGGCCCAGGAAGAGCAACCTGCTTTGAGACCATGTTTGAATACTAGAATTAGGTAGCTAGGGAAGCCATGGAATGGCGTGAGGTTTAAGGCTTGGGAAAGAGTGTGAGATAAGAAGAGAGAGAGAGGGAGTTGTAGTCTCTAAGAACATATACCTATCTAGCCTATAATTCTACATAACACATGTACAATAATTATGACAGAGTACAAGACTGGGTGCCTAGCATTATATTGCGAGAAAGGCGAATTCAATACAACCCGGTAATGATTGAAATTCCTTACAGTTTATGTAGAGTTGTAACCATCATGGCATAAACCAATGTACAGTCTCGGTATCACTTTAAATAATCAAACACTCATGAGCCAATTGTCTGGTAGTCATACCGTTACCTCGTTTGGCAATCCAGATGCACAATACAAGAAGCCATATCAATACAGTAACAACAGTGTATCTAGAACCGGCAAACGGGACCACAGGAAAAGGGGAAAGGAAGAGAAGAAGCCAACCGAAGGCAGGCAGATAAGGGGATAAATGAAGGGAATCAGCACCCACGTTGAAGAGCGCGAGAGGCAGGTGGCTCAGGTATGCCCAGGCGTGCTCAGGTGTGCTCAAACATTTGAAGTTATTGTGTGGAAGAAGCAGCAGCAGCTATGGCGGTGCACAGCATCGCAGCCGCAGCGGTGCCTGCCCGCAATCCGGTCTAGCCACAGCACCGGTTGAAGATGCTGCAGACGCGAGGGCGGATCCAGGCAGGTAGATTGGGGCACGGGGTGTTCTCCTCCTGTCCAAATGATACAGAGAAAGAGCGTCCGAAGAGAGAGAGCCAGAGCGAGAGAGGGTGAGTGAGAGAGCGAGAGAGTGAGAATAGGTAACCGAATCAGCACATGTCATGGAGCAGGGGGGATGGGAAGAAAGCGGCACAACAATGCAAGCCCAGGACAAAACAGGTCATACAAAGGCAAAGCACCCGCTGGTCTCCTCCCCACACCCCCCTCCCCCCCCACCCCTCCCTCCACCCACCCAATTCCAACATCTCCTCCCCCCGCCTCTCCCCCCTCCACCCCCATTCCCATCCACCATCTGGGCGCGCAGCACTCACGGGCAGGTCGTTCTGCAGCATGCACTGGTTCTCATAGCGGTCCCACGTCTTCGATATAAGGAACTTCATGCCGTTGTTGCCGACGAGATTATAACGGAACTGGAAGCCGTCCTTGTTGCGCGCGTAGTTGACCTCCACCGTGTCATTCCCGTAATTCCCCACGCAGTTGTCCGACGCCTCAGAACCATCCCCCATCATCCACCCGGTTTCCGTGTCCGGGTTAGTGATCGTGTCCACCAGCTCGTTAGCGAGCGTCGACACTGTAGCGTCCATCGCCGTGTTGCAGTTAGGCGAGGCACTGTGAAGAGGGGATGGGTCAACAGGCAGAATGGGGAGAGTGTTAGGCGAGGCAGTGAGGGGTGGCAGGGCAACGCGGGAACGAAGGGCAAAGCGGTAAGGCGAAAGATGAAAAGCCGACAAGGGAGCAGGGTTGGAGTGAGGAGAGGGGGTGGGGGGGAGGGGAGAGGGAGGGGGGAGAGGCGAGAGCGGGGAGAGAGAACAAAGCGGGCAGCAGCGACGGCAAAAACAGAATACTCGAAAGCGGTGGTAAGAAACAGAAAATACTCGACGTAGGGGGAGGGGAAGGGGAGGGGAGGGGGGGGGGGGGGGGAGGGGGGAGAAGAGAGCGAGTGAACAGGGAGCAGCGCGCGTACGGTTCGGGCATGCAGGGGTCGGGGCAGCTGCCATGGTCCCCAACGAAACCAAGGTTGAAGGAGCCGAGGTAGTGCGGCGCCTTGGTGTGCCAGCCGCAGTAGTTGGTGCAGAAGCCGTCGACCTCGACGATGTTGCTCGTGAGCACGAAGTACACGCCCTTGGCGTCGAACCTGAGCGCCTTGTCCGGCCCGATCTGCCAGCGCGCGACTGCGGAGGAAGCGGGGGAAGCGGGGCACGGGAACGGGTGGAGGAGAGGGGGAATGGACAGACGGGGGGAGAGTGGACGGGTGGGGGGACGGGGGGAGGGGCGGGGGGGAGGAATGACTACGGAGGGTAATGAGCACGTGGGAAGTGAGGGGGGGGGGAAGGAACTGGAAGGCTGGATAGGAGAGTTAAGGCACAGGAAAACATCCAGCAAGGCGAAGCAAGGGAAGTCGACGACGCGGGAAGGGGAAGCGGGGGAAGAGGAGGAAGAGGAGGTGGGGGAGGAGGAGGAAGAGGAAGCGGGGGAGGGGAGGGAGAGCGGGCGTACTGGTGGCGATGTCGGACGGCGAGAGCGGCCCCTTGCCCATGGAGAAGCGGTCGTACGCTACTCCCGCTAGACGCGCCTGCGCGAACAACGGGACGCGCGAGCGGCACACGAGCGACACACGAGGGGGAGAGGACGAGGAGAGATCAAAGCGATGCGAGGCGAGAGTAGCGTACGACCGGTTACAACAGACGCGGGCGTCGGGTCACGGTCCAACAGGGCGCAACGAGATTGAACGAGGCGAGGTCACTAGTAACGCTGGCGCATCCAGAGCGAGAGGACGCTACTGCAGCGTACTGTACTCAGTCCCCACTGACGCGCGAAGGGACAGCGGCAGACGACCTTCCTTCGTCGGTCGGCTAGACTGTGCAGCAGAGCGACAGTTTAGCAGAGCGCAGTGGCGAGGGGATAGGGCGAGACTGGGCAGGCACTTCATGCCGCCAAGTTAGGAGACGTCGCAACGATGGACTTCGTGGGCGGTACGAGAATGTCTAGGAAAGCTAAGAAACACGGAAGAGTAGATAGCCTGTGTTCAATCTAGGTCCACTCTAGGTCTCTTCTAAATCTGTTCTAGGGCCCTTCAATCCAAACGGTAAACGCACCCTGGTTCCGACGTATCTGTCCTTGTTCGTCTCGTTGTTCGTCATGTAGTAGTTCCCCGCAACAGCGAACCAGTTCTTAACGGAGTTCTCGCCCTGCCCGCCCTGCTTCCCGTTCTTGCTGCTCAGCGACTTGACGAAATTCTCGATGATGTTCTGCCCGTATCCCTTAGGCCAGTTTCCGTAGTAAACCAGATAGATGTTAACGTGTGGCGAGCCGGTCACAACGGGGCCGCCATTGTAAATGATCGGGCCGACCCCTTCGTCATTGGCGGACTGCGTCTTTCCGGAGCGCGAAACCCTCCCGCCCTTTCCGACGCCGCGATTGCGGGTCTTGAAAAACTTGGATGGGAGCGCTCGGATTCTCTTTACTAGCGTGTTTAGCGGGCTGTTTCTGCCGGCGTCGGCGTACGACGCGAAGGAGTGGAGCAAGAGGACGGAGAGGAGGAGGGAATAGACTATGCGCGGCAACATGATGGCAAGTGGTTCGTACGACGGAGTGGTCGAATCTGACGAGTGATAGACGCGTTGGCTCTGCTTGATAGAGCCCTAGGCTTAGTGCGGGACAGTAGAAGAAAGGCTTCACTGGAGATCAGGAACACACGATCAGCGCAGCAGGAAGTGGTACTGTTCAGTGCTGTTCGGGAGCTGCAGAGACGAGAAAGAAGCTGGAGGAGGGGCGAAGGAAATCGTGGAGGAACGGGAGGACAAGACGGGATGGGGTAGCAGGGTGGGAGGGTTGGGTTGGGGGGCAGGGCTCTCACTGATCCTAGGGTATTCCGTTAGGTCACGGAATCGGCCCCGAAATTACCCGTTAGCGGACGGCATCGCCGAAACATTACCCGTTAGCATTCGTCAAAGAGCACTCTCGGTTTTATACTGATATCCTCTAAGACATATGGCCCTGGCCACGGCTGAGGAAAACCCCTTGAGCCCCATGGACTGTTTCTCGCATATAACATGCCTCAGGCGGTTGGAAGAGTATAAAACTTCCCGGTACTAAAGCTCTCTCTTTGCTTACTGGAGGAAGAGGGGAGGGTGGGAAGGGGTGATACAACACTACGAACAGATCTCCTACTACAAGTGCACTTTCTTCGGAAACAAAGAAAAAAGTAACCCGTAATGTCAAGGAATCACACGAAAAGTAATCCGTTAGGAAGACGGAATCAAAAGTCTCATATGCAAAAAACGGAATCAGGTCGGAAACAACTCTTAATTTGGCGACATTAAGGGAACATTACCCTGTTAGCCAGAGCCCTGTGGGGGGACCCGACGAGGGCCGGGGGCACCGGGGAAGTGTGACAAGTGGAGGTGGCGCGGAATGGCGGGAGGCGATAGGATGCAGGAAACGCAGAATCACTGAGAAAGCTGGGAGAAACAGAGAGGGGGAAAGGCAATCTGCGACTCGTACTTGTGGGAAGGAAACGGGCAGGTACAGACTAACTGGCGTTGGTATATTTTCGGCGCTGATGCTGGGAACACTGCAGGGGGCAAAGTTGTCGAAGCGTGCAAGATCGATGTTGAACTGCGGAAACAAATGCATGTCGACATTTCCGGGCAGACGAGGCGCAGGCTGAACTTGATGTTGTCGAGCAAGTGGAAGCCTCTTACATATTACACCTGACGGACTGTCTGACATATCACTTCACCAGAGACCTGCAACCTGCGACTCGATAAGTGGGACCAAGAATTGCCAGCAAACAACCTGAGGCGCTCCCCCAATAACAGTTATTTACCTGCTCCCCCAATACACTTCCACCAATCCACACTCTCGCGAACCTTCAAACATTACTACCGCGTTACCATCCGATGGGAAGAATCCAAAAATATAAGAATCCAAAAATATAATAGAATGAACAATACATGCAAATCAAAAGAAGAAGACACTCATATTTAGACGAGCACCAACACATTGCACCCACTGAATCTTACTTGGTATATGGCTTCTTAGGTATCCACTCGCCAAAAAGGAGAATCCCTTTCGAGGGGCTGCCCTCAGAGCTTCTATCCCCCACCTCTGAAAAAAACTCAGTTGCTACTCCTTGTGCTCCCTCCTTGGAGCCCTGTGCTGACCCAACAGCTTTCACAGTATCGATGCCTTCCTCAACCAATTTATTCCCAGGGACTGTACCGGTTGTGCCACTCGTGCTATGTGTGCAAGTGAAGGCGTCCAAGGAGGAAGCCTGCCGAGGGGGGACGTTTGCAGGCTTGCTAAATGCGAATGAAGTGGCAAAATCGGCCGAAGGCACGCGGATCGGCATGCGGGTGGGTGCAGCTGCAGACGAGTCAATGGGCATGGGCATGGGGGTAGGATTAGGCGTGGGCATGGGCATTTGCATCTGCATGGGCATGTGCATAGGCATGTGCGAGGGAAAGTGCATGTGCATGGGGAGTTGTACATGCATGGGCATGGGCGTGGACATGTGCATGGGCATGGGCATATGCATATGCATGTGCATCTGAGCTTGCATTGTGGCATCTATGGCTGGGGGGAATTGCTCTGCTGCTGCTGCTGGCATGCCTGCATGTGCTGCCAGGTGTGTGGCCACGAGCCCTTGAGCCCAGGCGCTGCGAGGGACGATGGGCCGGTGGGATGAGAGCTGGATAATGGGCAGGGGGAGATGAATGGCTGAAGGGGCAGGGTTGCCTGCACATGGTGTTGCTGCTGGTGTTTCTGGTGCTTGTGCAGCAGCGGGTGTGTTGGCGGCAGCTAGATGGGTAGTGAACCCAGAAAATGCACCCAAAGCAGGCATTGCAGAGGGTGCAAACGCTGCTGCTGCTGCCCGCGGTGTGGCTCCTGCTGATGCCACTGCTGCTGCTACGACTGCTGTGGCTGCGGCTGCTGTTGACGCTGATGCTGGGAGTTGGCCGGTGGAGGAGAGAGAGGAGGGGAGGGGAGGGCGCGTGGGCAAGCCGAGAAAAAGATCTTGGAGAAGAGGGTCGGGATGGAACGGAGGGGAAGGAGAGCCCGTGGAAGGAGGATGCAGACGAGGAGACTGGAACTGAACTTGCTGCTGCCGCTGCTGCTGCTGCTGCTGCTGCTCTTGCTCTTGCTTCTGCCCTTGCTGCTCTTTTTGCTGCTCCTTTGGCTGCTGCGGATTGGAATGTAGGCGTGCTCTCTTGGCCGAGTGGAAGCCAGACTCATCCCCAGCAGCAGCAGCAGAAGCAGCAGCACCAGAATGAATGGTCGCCAGCGTGCTTTCGTCTTTGACTGACCGCTCGTGCTTCCTGCCCTCCTGACTGTGCTCCCTCTCCTTCTCTCCACCTCCCCCTTCTGCCATCCCACCAGCTTGCATCCCTCCTGCCTGTGCTACCTCCTGGCTGCATCGTCCGAGCCGAGCCAGCTGGCCCGGGCCGGACCTGCGGGGCTGGTTTAAGTTGCTGCGCCTGGGTTGCGCAGCACTGGTCCGTTGGAATTGGCTTGCCAAATGGCTTGACGCCAGGGCGTGGTGGGGTGAATGGGCGTGGAAGGGTGGAGGGTTGGCGGAGAGTGGAGGGGCATGGGAGTCGTCCGAGAGGTTGAGCGCAGCCGCGAGGCAGTCTGTCAGGGCTGTTGCTGCTGCTGTCACTGCGTCTGGAGCAGGAGCAGCAGCAGCAGCAGCAGCAGGAGCGGCAGAAGGAGCAGCAGTAACAGAAGCCGCAGCAGCACCAGCAGCAGGAGGGGGAGGGGGGACAGCAAGGCGGGGAGTAGAAGCAGCAGTGGGTGGCAAGGAAGCAGGCGAGGGTGCGTTCACACTGACGGGAGACGAGGAGGCCACTAAAGAGGCGGGAGAGCCAGCAGCAGCTACACTAGCAGCAGCAGCAGAAGCAGAGGCAAGACCTGCAGCAGAGCCAAAAGCAGCGAATGCAGGCGCTGGGGAGCGAGGGAAAGGAAAGAGAGCCTCCCACACAGCTCTAGAAGCATTGGTGTTGGTCGTGTCCCGGCTGTGAGGGGAAGACTCATGGGTGCCCCTGCTGCTACCGGCTGGTACCCACGTACCAAATCCTCTTTCTCCTCCTCCCCTCTCTCCTCCTCTGTCACCTCCCCCTATCTCCCCTCCGCCCCTCCCCACGGCAGCAGACATGGTGGCAACTCGCCTCAGGCCCCTCAGCGCCAGCATGCGTGCTGCGGGCGAGGCTCCCCCTGACAGCGGTGACAACGACAACGACGATGCCGATGCCGATGATGCTAGAGACACCGAGGACGGAAGTAACGGTAAACGGCCCTGAGCTGGTAACCGCTGAGCCAATTCCATGGTGATCGGCCGTCTGTGGCTGCGGGGGGGGTCTGGGAGCCAGAGGGTGTATGGAGAGTGAAGGGAATCCCCCTCTTCTTCTGCTGCTGCTGCTGGCACGTCTATGTCCATTCCTGAACCACCTGGGAGCAGCGCCGCAGCACCTGCAGGAGAAAGGGCGTGTCCCAGTTCAGGTGATTTTTCAGGTGGCTGGTCATGTGATGGGAAGGAGTCGGTGTGGGTGGCGATGCTCGGCCAGGAGGAGCGGCGCTGGGCGGTAAGAGTGCGAGGGAGAGAGCATTGGAGAGAGTGAGAAAGGGAGTGTGCGGCAGGAAGAAGCTGACCGCTTGGAGAGGAAAGGCGGCTGCTTGGAGGGGAAAAAGCAGCAGCAGCAGCAGCAGCAGCGGCGGCGGCGGCGGCAGAAGCAGCAGCAGAGGCAGAAGCAACGTTAGAAGCAGCGGTGAAGCCACCAGAACCTGCCGAGGCAGAGGAGGGGAATGGTGAAGCGGGGTGGCGCTGGAAATACCAGGCAGCTCGAGGGGTGGAGGCGGCAACGGGGGAGGTCTCAGGAGTGGCCCCTCCAACCATGTCTCGTGGTAGCAGGAGGGCGAGCTCAGGCCTCCCCACCAGCTTCAACTTTGACACAGCCCCAGCCCCAGCCCCAGCCCCAGCCGACTCACGATGGGGTGCTTCTGCTGCTGCGGCCACCACCCCCTCACTCTTCTCGCGTTCCTCTGCTGCGCCGCTCTTCCCCGCTGCACCGGCCTTGTCAGCCGGCCTCAGCAGGCTAGCTCGGGGCTGCCACGCCTCCAAACCCCTGAACCCTGCGCCGCTGCCACCGCTGCCACCGCTGCCACCGCCACAGCCGCCACCGCCACCACTGCCGTCGGTGGCGTCAACCGGGGTGCCCCCTCCCCCAGCGCCTGCCAGGCGCCCCTTCCACATCCGCGACGCGCGTCGCCTCGGGCTCCACGCCGCCGCGCCTTCGCCTGAGCCGCCGCCGCCCGTCAAGGCGGCGCTGAGTCCCTCCCTCTCCCGCTGACGAAACTCCCCCCTGCTTCCACTCCCCCCCCCGCCTCCTCTTCCGCCTCCGCCTCCTCCTCCTCCTCCTCTTCCGCCTCCGCTGCCTCCTCCTCCTCTGCTGCTGCCGCTGCTGCCTCCGCTGATCCCGCCACTAGAAACGCTACAAGGGCCGGGTTTAGCGCTCTGGGATAAGACAGAAACGGTGGTGTTAACGGCGGCGGCCAGGGCGGCGGGGCTGCTAGCTGACGGGATGGCGGCGCCGCCAAACGCGCTCTGGTCTCCTCTGGCGGCCGTTCTCTCGTTTGCCGAGCCACCTCCCAGTGCGTCGGCTGGTCCGAAGGGCGCTGCGGCGGTGACGGCGGCGGCGGCGGCGGCGGCTCTGTGGCTTGCCGGGTCGCAATCACGGGCGAGGCGGCCTGCGTGCTCCGCGTCGCCACTTTCGCGGGCGGTACCCTCACCGCCAACCTCGCCGCCTCCTCCGCCGACGCCGTCGAGCGGGTGCGCGAAGCCGTCAAGCGCCGCTTGGATCACCGCGAGATCTTGCGCCTGCCGCCGCGACGCCGCAGTCGCCGCCGCCGCGAAATTTTGTGCAGAAACTGCTGGTAGTAGCACCGGCGCTGCCTGTAACGCGGATGAGCGCGGCTTGATAAAGTCCCCGTCGCGGGGCGCGTGGCGCTCGTCGCCGGGCGACGCGACGATTCCAGGTAACGTCGCAGGCGGCGGCGGCGATTTCGAGTCGGCAAAAGCTCCTCGCCGTCGCGAGTCGCGCGTTTGCAACTTCAAGTTGCGGGCGACGCCGGACGACGCCGCCTGGGGCGGCGGCTGCCCCCCGGCCGCGTCTGCCGCGGCCGCGGCACGCAGCACCGCCGCCGGTGCAGCGGCGGAGAGCGGAGGAGCGCGCAGCTGGGGGTGCGCGCGGAGGAGGAGAAGCGCCGCCAGATGATCCGCCAGAGAGGTGGAAGCACCGTCGCCGTCGCCGGCGGTGGCGCCGGCGCTACTATTGATCGGATCAACATTGCCTTCCGCGCCGCTTATGATAGCAGCAGGGCGACCAGTCGCAGAGGGTTGCTGCTGCGACCGATGCGACCGCTGCGACTGCTGCGGCGATTGCGACGCGATCGGCGGCGGCCGGGATGGCCCACTGGCGGAGCTGCCTCTGCCGGCGGCCGTCACGTTCGGCGCGGCGGCGGCGGCGGCTCTTTCCGAATCGGCGGCGGCGCCGATTCGTCGCACGCCGCTGAAGCCGCCGCGGGTTCTCCGCTGCTCGTCCGACGAGTCGCCCATGCTGTCGCCAACCGATCATGCGACGCTGGCAGTGGCAGGAGTCGAGCGACGGATTCTTCAAGAAACTCAGGAAAGGTAGATTCGCGACAGGTAGTAATAGAATCGCGGCGAAAGCAGTGGCAGGCGAGCGCAGCTTCTTGGTGGCGCCGGGCCGTGGGCGACGTCACGTAACAGAGTCGCGTAGAGTCGCGTGGAGTCGCGTGGAGTCGCGTGGAGTCGCGTAGAGTCGCGTAGAGTCGCGTAGAGTCGCCTGGCGTCGCGTGGAGTCGCTGAGCCACGTGGAACCGCGTACTACAGCCAGTGGCTATTTTGAAGAGGGAGAAACCTCCAGCGGTGGCGGCGGCGGTAAAGCAGTCTTCCCAATTCTCGGGCTACTAGAGTCGAGATTCGAGGCCGCGTTCGCGCGGCGGAAGTGAAAGGAGCTTGTCCCCCGCTATCCACTATCGCCACTTGTGGTGGTACTAGTGGCGTTTCTTGAAAGCTCTTCGATAAAACGTGGTACTCCTTCGCTTGTTACTCCTTCGCGGCGGGCCGCGAGTAAGAGCCTCTTTTGTGAGATCGGCGGGCAGTTGATCGGACGGAGGCACGAGAAGTATGGAGAATTACGCACTCTCTTTCCCATTCGAGACGGTAAGCGAGGCAAGCAAGATTAGTCAGCTCGAAATAGGCAGCGCGAATGGGCGAGGGAAAGAGAGAGAGGGAGAGAGTGTGTGCGTGTGAGGCTCTCACTCAGATAGATCCTCTTGTAATGATATCCAGAGAACCAGGGAATCCTTTCAGACAGAAGGGAGCTTAGATATGCGTCGAGTGGATAAGCTTGCATCTCTGGATGATTGCCGTGCCGCCAACTAGCCAGTCAGCGGGAGTGCTGACTCGGTGGCGGCCTCTAATACCCCCGCCTCCGATTGGTCGGAGCGCGCACAAGCAGCCAGCGTCGCAATCCGCCGCGCCTATGAGGATGCTCGCAATCATCGCCTTTGCAGCAAGAATGGCCAGCGCGGAAACAAGCCGGAAGACGACGACGACGGGCTTTCTTGGAGCAAGTTAGGTTCGTATTTCGCGCGATTGGCGCGAGGAGAGGCGAGACGAGACGAGGTGAGCGTGAGCGATGGATGGACGGACGGGAAAGCGGCCCGCTGCATTGGAAGAGACTTGGACGGTTCAGATTTGTAGGGAGCTCAGATGGGTGATCGAGTGGAGGAGACCACCAACAGACCCACCACAGGAACAGACCTGAGATCCGATAAAGGACACCCCTCTGTCACACTGTGTAACACCCGTGTCACACTGTGAGTAACGCATGCGTCAAGCGGGCTTCGCGGAGCGCCTCGTATTCTAAGCGTGCGAGATACGACAAACCTAGAAGAAAGACGAGCGCGAGTCGGGAATCGGGACTGGGACGCGTGCGCAGGGAGTTGCGATGCGACGACACTTCTGTTCTTGGTGATATCTCAGCGTCCCTGTCCTTACCGTGAACTACAGTTGCGAAGCGACACACAACTGCGCGCTGTAGCGTAACCTCCGAGCAACTGTGCGCAGGCGTGTACCAACCGCACCCATGCAGCTGTAACGGATTGCTGTTCCTTGCCGTCCACAATTGTGCGATTTGTCTTGTCGCACACGTGGGTGGCCCACAGTTCCTCATCGGCAGGGTGATGGCTCTAAAAAATCTGAATGGCCATCTCACACTCGGCTCGAAAATGATACAGAACTCATGACCAGTAACGAGTCACGACTCATGACCCCTGTTCTTCTACCCTAGTCTAGAGTCTCTAGACCTGCGACGAATATCCAGTCACAAGGACGTAAAATCCATGGGTTGCATATTGTTTGGGCCAGTGCAGGGTGGTTTGTGAAGGACAAGCACCAGACAATCTTGGCATTGGCAGCAGAGCCGTTGTGTGGCGCCGCGGTGGTGAAATGGGAGACAAGTGTGTGTGTGGTGTGATTGGATTGGATGGCCCTCAAGAATCTGGATGGTCTGGAGTGTGGATGATCTTGCGTAGACTCGTCTGCATGGGGTAGGGTGCAGGGCCTATTTTTCAAGGGATGTTTTTCTGAATTTGAGTCAAATAAAAAGTAGTTTTTAAGCTGGCCCCACAAATTAAGGGTTGGATTTTAATGAGCCCGGAGGATTAAAGGTTTATGCAGAGTGTGACCTTTGAGATTGAGGGTATATTTGTTTCCTACCACGAGTGTACTACTAGTGCTGGTAGGGCTACAAGGGGGATCTCCTTAAGATGAACAACTCCCTTAGAAGATTTTCGTTGTTCGCCCCTCACAGCACGTACTCACACCAACTGACTGAGGGGAGATAACTTGTTTTCGACCTTCTTCCCTCACAGCACGTTACTCACCTTGTAGTCACCAACAGAGGGAACTCGGTAGATTTTCGTTCTTCTCCCCTCAGCACGTTACTCACACCCCGTAGTCACCAACAGAGGGGAGACAACTCCCTTAGTAGATTTTCGTCATTCTCCCCTCACAGCCTCGTGCACGTTACTCACGCCCTTTTCATCTTGTCCATACATCTCCTGGTAGATTCTAACCGTGGCAGTAAAAACGGTACTGTGCAAACGAACCCTGATGATTAAGGACTGCCTTTCGCTGGACCCTGAAAATCAAGGGTGAACTTTTAAGGAGCCTGATTTTTGAAGGGTGACTAAAAACCAAAAGTAAGCCCTGGTAGGGAGCTTTTTGTTGGGAGGAGAGCACAGAAGTTGAAAGGATGAGGTGTGGACGTGACAAGCGCACAGATGATGGCTGTTTGGCATATTATAGCAACAGGCGCAAGAAACGGAGGCTCCAACGCAAGTATCTAACGGCAATCTGCATGAAGCAGAAGTTGTGCCGGACAGACAGCGAGCAGGAAGCAGCAGCAGATGCCATAAGAGGGGATTTGACTAATGGGCATCATTCCAGCACATATGTTACACTTATTCTACCTTACACTTTACGTCACTGACCGAGCTGCGACGGAATGTAACGTGGAAGGATATTTTGCCAGACAAAACTGGATTGTATAGTGAAAGCGAACAGTACCCGTTGGACACATGTGAGTACATCCGAGTGGCAAGGGTTGTTCTGACGTAGTGCACTTACGCAGACGTGTCAGGTGCTCAACGGCGAACACCGACGTTGCATTGAAACGTGGCACTCATGCACTGTGTTCGATAGCGAGGAGAGATTCTCGTGATGTCTAACTTCGCAGAGCCTCATAACTCGTGCATTGTGAATCTGGATGTGCGTCGTGATTGGTCATAAATGTTATGAGAGGGAAATTGCGCAAATCTTCTTCGAATGTTCCACTACTGTTTCTCGTGTACTCGATTATAACCTCATTGAAATATGGTGGGATATATGGTTACATGAAGTGTAACGGCAAGTTGAAGTGTTCCGCTACGGACTGTTCGGTGGAATAGGTGTAGCGGCTGCCAGAAGCACAAGAATTTCACTCCATGGAATCCAGCATGTCGATTTTCTCGAACAGGGAGTGGCTGCTCACTTCGGAGCGCTCATATTTCCCACGAGGGAAATTTTCAAGGGCAGGATGACCACACCCATTCCACCGAACAGTCCATAGCGGAACACTAGAGTTTGCCTTTACTGTTATAAATTAATCCGATTAATAACATGTAGTGTAATAAAGGAGTCGTGATTGAGGGCCTAGGCATTTATAGGCACGAACAGAGCTAGTCGAGAACCAAGCAAACAGGTTGGGGCGTTCCGGTTGGCAAAAGCCACGGAAGCGCTGCGCGTCTAGGTTTGGGTTCGTGAAATGGTTCGGGACCGAAGAAGTTGGCCGTGCCTAGACTTCTGAGAGTCGAAAGCGCTATAGTCGAGCCCAGTAAGGAAAAGGGAATTCGGTACACCATCCCCCCTTCCGAGATGAGAATACCCATATCCGGGACACGTCGTCAGTGTTAATAGTCCCGATCGACTTTGTGTTCGCCGAGCATAGCTGCGAGGACCCAAAGGCCGTCGTCAGTTGTTCGATTGACCCATCGTACAGGGAAATCAACGGCCGCTGTATCTCGATGGCCTCGTACGCGATGAGCGAGAATCTTGGACGGCTCGATCGTTGGCTCGAGTACTGGATTGACCGTAGGATTGATGTGTTGACGATCAAGATTAGTCGTACTCAGGACGAACGGTCGCAGTAGACTGACGTGGAATGAAAGATGAATTCGCCAGTCGGCTGGCAGTTGCAGCTGGGCGGTTACTGGTATCACCATGCAAATAATGCGAAATGGGTCGCAAAATTTTGGTCGTAATTTATTTGGGAAGGGAATTCCCAAATTTCAGGTGTCGGGCAGGACCAAATGCCCAGGGGCAAGTGTTAAGTCTCGGCGTCGTCGGTCAGCTTGCTGCTTAGCCCTCTGGTTGGCTTTGAGGATGGCATCGGCGGCTTTTGCTGAGACTGTAAGAGATTTTCGACGAATTGCTGAGATCTTGGTGCCGGATTTCTATTGGTGATGATAGAGGGGTTGTCGGATCTATCCCGTGATTAAGGAAGAACGGAGACTGAGTAGTCGTGACCGATGGGGCATTGTTGTACGCAAACTCGATCAAGGGAAGGGCATCTTCCCATTGGGCCGTGTCTGTGCATGTCGTGCGAATCAGCTGCTCCATCGTCTGATTGGTGCGCTTAGTCTGGCCATCCAATTGCGGATGGTACGCCGTGGACAGATGTAGACGTCTGCCGTACTGCTGCCAGGTTTTTGTCCAAAAGTTGGACGTGAATCGTGGGTCACAATCGCTCATGATTGCCGAAGGGATGCCGTGTAGCCGCACAATGTTCGTAAGGAACAGTTTCGCTATCTGCTCGGCAGTAATCGTCTTCTTGCAGGCGGCGAAGTGGGCCATTTTGGTCAACCGGTCAACGACGACGAGAATCGCGTCGTTGCCGCTTAAACCAGCTGGCAGGCTAGAGACGAAATCCATCGTCACTTGTTGCCAGGGTCGGCTGGGTGGCTCGAGCGGCTGCAGCAATCCCGCAGGATGAAGTCAAGAATGCTTCATGCGTTGACATGTAGCGCAAGAGGTGGTGTACAAGAAGAATTTGGCTTCGCAAAGTTGGTCGAGGAGTTCGTCAGCACCCGCAATAGGATAACGAGACTTGATGGTAACCCGGTTCAAGGCGCGGTAGTCAAAACACATTTGTAGACCGCCATCTTTCTTCGGGGTGAACAGTATCGGAGCTGCAAACGGTTAAGTGCTGGAGCGAACGAAACATTTCTCGAGCAGATAATCCAGCTGTCGTCAAAGTTCATCCAGCTCGGGCTGAGTCAGCCACCATAGAGTCCGGATGGTAGGTTGCACACCGGGCTCCAGTTCGATTTTGTGGTCATGGTCACGCTCAGCTGGCAAACCCGGAAGGAGGTCGCCTGGAAAAATGTCGGCGTGTTTCCGAATCACCATCGCCAAATCATCCGGGACAGCTGCGCAGAGTTTGCCGATGTCGGTTGGCGTGTCGATAGCCGTGGATGCGATCCATCGGATGACATACAATTGCGCCCCTCGAATCATGGCTTGCTTGATCGTCACTGCGCTGACCGTCGATGTGGTCGAATCTTGACAGCTCCACTTGGGTAGTCGTCGCCACTCGCCATTCCATTTGATGCGACAATCGCCCGTCCGCCAGTGAATGCTCGGGTTGTGTTCGCGCAGCCAATCGCGTCCCAGCAGCATGTCACAGCCATCCAAAGTTATCGATAGCATCTTCGTCATTAAACTGAAATTTTCGCCGCATGTTTCTCGCACGTGAGATACCCGCTCCGGAATTGCAAGTGGTGTGCTGTCAACCAGTCGCGCGTCGATTTCGGGCATGCAGCGCTCCAGCTGCAATCGCAATTTTTTCGCCTTCGTCACGTCCATCAAACTGTGGCTCGCCCCGCCATCAACGAATATTTTGATGCGGGTGTCACCAATTTATTCAGGGCGATCAACCGGTTCACCCCCCTTATTCAGCCAGGAATGGTCGATGGCCCACATGGGCACTATGACCTGGTGGGGGTGGTGGCGTTTGGGCGATGTAGTCAAGTCAGTAGGTGGCCCATCTGCTACTGATGATCTCCATTTCCCGACTGCTTTTTGTCGTTAGGTAAGTTATTCTTCAGCTGCAGGCAGTCCCTCACCATGTGACCCGGCTGGTTGCAGTGGAAGCAGGTTCCCAAAAATACTAGGGCTGCAAACACGTCCACGCCATTGATTGATGTGTGTTAGGGCTGGCCTCAAGAGCGATTTCCCTCCCGGAAACCCGCTCTCGCGAGTCTATGTCGTGCGTTCAGCGCGTTAGCTATGCGAACTATTTCGTTGAATGTCGCCGGGGCTCGTTGGACAATCTCTTGCTGAATCTCCGGCTTGAGACCACCCCCGTAGCGATCGATGCGCTCGTCTTAGCTAAGCCCTCAGATTTGGTCGCACAGTGTCAAATATGACGCCGTGTATTCTTGGACAGAGCCCAACTGTCCCCACCTCCGAAGCTTTTCGCGCATGGATATGTGCTCGAATCTGCCCTTCAACGCTTCGCCCCACGCTCTCCACGTGCGGATCTTTGCCGACCCAAAGATTGGTTCAGCCTTCGCCGTTGATGAACTCAGCTCCCCATCTACCGCCCGTTGATTCCCTGCCGGGGCTCCTCCCTCGTCTAGATGCATGCGCCACCAGTCGAGTGTCGATGCCCTCAGCAACGACACAGCCAAGTTGACACGTGATGCGTTGTCATTAATACTTGCTGACGTGAAGATGATTTCCATGGCCAACAGCCACCCGCTCACTGTAGTTGTCCTGTCGGTCGAGTTGAACGGCGGAGGCATTGGTGGTTTGATTTTAATGGCCGCCCGCGGCTCGGTGTGAACTTCTTCAACTGCTTCCGGTATCGCCGACGCCCTCGCTTCGCTCGCAACATCTTCGTCACGAGTAACAGGCCGCCCCTGACGCGTTTCACCCCGCGTATGGCGAAGCGACGAGTTTTCGTTGCGCAGCGTCTGTACTTCGCTTCCCAGCGACTCGAACTTATCGGCGAGTTGTTGAAGCTGGGCCTGCAGTGTCGTCACTGTAGCCGCCCTGGCCTGCAACTCGTCAAACTCCTCCTAAGTGACGTTCCTAACACTACGACGTTCAGAGGTTTCCGGCATGGTATACATGCTGCAAATTTTACCAAATAGATCTGAGGGTGCACACACATTTAGTTGGAGGAGCTTTAACGAGCTCACCTACCAACCGCAGGCCAACCCCCTATTCTGTCGAGTCCTCTCTCAATAGAAACGGACTACTCTACGAAAGATTAAGCGGCCAGGAACGGAGCTCTGATAGCAGCTGTTATGAATTAATTAGAGTAATAACAGGTAGTGTAATAAAGGAGTCGTGATTCAAGAGTGTCTATACAAATGAGGGCCTAGGCATTTATAGGCACGAACAAAGCCAGCCGAGAACCACGTAAACAGGTTGGGGCGGTCCGGTTGGCGAAAGCCACGGAAGCGCTGCGCGTCTAGGTTTGGGTTCGCGAAATGGTTCGGGACCGAAGAAGTTGGCCGAGCCTGGACTCCGAGAGTGGAGGGCGTACATGCTGTAGTCGAGCAAAGTAAGGAAAAGGGAATTTCCTTACAGTTACGCTCCATATAACCATATATCACACTATATTTCAATGACGTTATAATCGAGTACACGAGAAACAGTAATGGAACATTCGAAGAAGATTGGTTTTTTTTGTAATGAATTACAATTCCTTAATGGGGCTCGCCACAGCGAGTGCACGCAAACACTTTGTGATCGCAGGCTCGGCCCATGGTTCTCGCGCCAAACCAGCCTCCGCCGACCTTGTCGGCCCCAACCTCATCCCGAGTCGCCCCAAACCCATTTTGACCCCGTCACCCTCGGGACTATCGAACCCTTGACTAGTCCAACCCTCGACATTCAACCCTGGTCAACACACCTATATATTGCCTAGGCCTACTTTCTATCAACAATATTGTAATCACGTCCCCCTAAAGTATTCTGCGCTATACTCTGAGTTATAATTCATAAGAGCTGCTATCAGAGCTACGTTCCTGCCCATTAGGCATCCGGTAGGGGAGTAGACCCTATTGGGGAAGGGGGCAGAAGGATATTGATGGCGAGCGGACGTCGTGGAGATTAATTGCGCGGGTGTTGCCGATGCCATCAGATCCTGTCCGATGGACGGCTGAGATTAGCTGGTCCTCCCTTTCCCTGGGCGTAGACGGAATTATTTCCCGTCCAAGAGATGCTGACGTTTTCGCAGTGTTTTTCAGGTATGTTCGTTAGAGCTTTCGTAATTTTCGGGTGTTTGGACGGAGTCTTTGGATTGGCTTCCGAAAAAAGCGAAGGCTTCGTCAGGAGAAGACAAGTGCACGGGAGTCCTCAGGCGGCCGAGAGTTGGTCGTCAGGAGCGCGCCGTGTGGCGAAAATGGCGGGATGTACGGCGATGTACGTCTGGTGCGCCATGAAGGTGCAGGGTGAACTGTAGTTGTGTCGCGGGTCCCAGCGTTTCCGGCAGGCTAGTTGCAGGCGATGGATGGGACTTCAACACTATTTCGGCAACGGGCGGAGCTGACAATTTCGGAACGACACGTTCGCACGAGGACGTGTTGTTGTGCAGTTGTGTGGGAGCAGCTGGGATTATCGACCTCGGCGCTATTCACCACGACGGCCATCTGGAGGTGATGACGCTGTGCTAGAGTGCATGTACTCAGCGAGGGTGACTTCCCGCGTGGGGAGGCGTTTTTCGTGGACCAGCTATTCATACCCCCACGATCAACGGAAACGGAGGCCACCACCCCTGGGTGTGTATTAAGTGTTTTTCCACCGATCGCCGAATGCGTTAACTGTCAGGAGCTGAAGCAGTGGAAGAACAACGACGAGAGTACTGGAGCAGATGGGTTAGCGGTGTTTGGGCTGCTGCTCGCTCAGCTACGTCGCCCTGAAATCACCATTCCCACTAGGTAGTAGTGTTGGCTTATTAATCGACGGCTTCTGTCTGAACAAGGGGGGTGAACCTGCGAACTACATTGTGCTGATGCAGTGGAGCTGACGGTTTTCACCTGCTGCAGCACGAGGAGGTTCCGACTTTTGCGGGTGTAGTTTGGCGAGTTTCCGACGGAAGAGGGAGCTGTCTAGCGGTCAGTAGGCGAGCTCGTTAAAGATCCTCTGATTAGAGGCGTGCGCACTCCTATCTCTATGGATTATCCTAGTTAGTTAAGCAACAACGAAGTGGTTTTGGGTAACCTGCAGCAGCCGCGAGATGGGTGAACGTCTACACGGCCAGCTGGACAAGGGTACAGGAGAATTTCTAGAGTTGGGTAACATCTGGGTGGAAATCGACGGCGTATGATGCTCGTTGACCCTTATTGGCGGCCAAAACATCATGCCAAGGTGGTGGACTCCGATGTTCCCTAATATGAAGGGTGCCATTCATGCTTACAGCTGGTGGAGAAACTGTGGGGGCGCTGCTCAAGGACACCGTGACGCCTGAGTGTTTTTATGGGTAGCCGTGAAGCGGAGTTACGGTATTTTCAAAGTACCGTGTGGTTCCGACATTTTCGCTGGAGCAGTTCAACGTTTTACAACTGAAGTTGTGCCCGCTAACTTTAGGGGTACGAGCGACATCAACCGATATTCTCGAAATCTTTAGGGTGCCAGGAGGAGGAGAAGCACAGCAGCAATTTCGGTTGTTCCCGAATTTCTCGGTGTGTAAAGGAGCTGATGCAGTTGGCGTCATTCGACCGTGAGTTCCGTTCGAGGTTTTTCACTGGAGTGGTTCGGTACAGGTTACAGGCCATCGCCATTGTCGTATTCCTCTCGCCACCACCCGCTACCACCTCCATCATCAATTTGCCTGATTCGCCCGACAGTGTGAACACGACCCTGCCTCGATATCCAAATAAAAGAAACAGCAGCATCGGATTTACTAGAAAATTGACAGCAACACTGTGGAGCTGTCGTGGGGCCAACTCGCAAGCAGTGTTTGACTTCTGCAGG